ATAGATTCTTTTCAGCAATCTGTGTTATTGTTCACAAAGAAAATAGACTTAAAGGTCTCTTACTTTTATTTCCTTTTCCCCCCTCAGTGTTTGGGAAAAATATTATTTTTCTGTAAATTGAATGAATTTTGTATATTTAAATAAGCAAGCTAAATAGAAGTCAAAATTCGAATTAAATTTAACTTCAATTGAAAAATATTTAAAAACTATCAATCAGTCTGATTGTGTGTTAGAAAATCAGGTCCTTTGCTAGAGGTATATCGTACCAACCAATTTATTTTTAATAGAAAGCAAGAAACAACTTTTACTACAAACAGAGTCCGAGTAGTTTAGTCCATTGCCAAAGCTTAATAATGGATCGCCAGAAATTAAAACAAGTGGTGTCTTCAAATAGTGAAGCTGATGCTGCGACTGGAAAAGCACTTAGATGCAAATCTATTACTGTTAGACGCTCCATTATTGTTACACGCTCTGTCACGGCACGGATGTTAAGTGGAAAATGTGGTAAGGGTAAGGTTAATACAGATGCCGTAAGAGCCAGAAAGACTCAAGCGAAAAAAGACACTAAAAAGAAAGTAAAAGTTATTAAGAAGGAACGTGAAAACGTTAAGTGTATTAGGACCGAAATGCAGGATGAAAAAGCTAAGCCCAAGAAGAAGGTCAACAAGAAGGTCAAGAAACAGCGCGTAAGTCCACCTACACCCACCCAGACGAAACGGAAGGAAACTTGTAAAAAGAAAAAGAATGCAAAATCTAGGAAGAGGAACGAAAAGCTACTACTAGAAAATGTCGATCAACTTCCTCGGATTAGAAAAAGGAAATATACTGAAGAAGAAAATCACTCAGTGGTTCCTATTAAACGGAAGAGGAAATAAAGTTATGTATTTTTATATTTTTCTAATTTCATAAACTTTGTACAATATTTTTTATGCTCAAAATTTAAAGTTCACAAATTTTAAGTTCCAATTTGAAATTGCAAAATTTGAAGTTCAAAATTTGAAGTTCAAAATTTGAAGTTCAAAATTTGAAGTTCAAAATTTGAAGTAAAAAATCTGAAGTAAAAAATTTGAAGTTAAAAATTGCAAGTTAAAAATTGTAAGGTTAAAAATAGGTGTGTCCGTCTTTAGTATATAAGATTGCTATAAGATTGAAATGGAAATGCCTAAAATTTTAAATAAATCAAAGTAAATA